TCAGGGCAAATGGAGCCACCGCCGGGGCCCACGTCCACGCGGGGTGTCGCCACCAATCCGGGGCTCTTGGCGCGGAGGCAGCGGGGCCGGGGGGAGCGGGCCCGGCCGCCGACCCCCAGGCCGGGCGCTAGGAGCCCTCTCGGAAGCTGTGGATCTGCGTGGAGTACCTCTGCAGGTGGCCCTCGGGCTGGGGCTCCGCGGCCCCCAGCGCGCCCCCAGCCACCTGCTGCTGCTGGTAGAGCTGGTAGAGCTTGGGGCCCGGCCCGTCCAGGCCTGGCAGGCGACCGCTGGACATAGTCAGGATGGTGGAGGTCAGCGACTTGATGTAGTTCTTGGCCAGCGTGAGCGTCTCGATCTTGGAGAGCTTCTTGTCGGCCCGCACGTGCGGGATGACCTCCCGCAGCGCCTGGAAGGCGTTGTTCAGCTTGTGCATGCGCTGCCGCTCCCGCTCGTTGCTCTCCAGCCGCCGCTGGACGCTGCTCTCCCGCCGGCCACCCGGCCCCGAGGGCCCCGGCCGCCGGCGCCCGCCCTCCGCCCGCGCCCCCTGCGCCCGCGCCGTCCTGCCCCGCAGACCCCTGGCCAGCTCCAGCCCCGACCCCTGCTGGGGCCGGTCCGGGGTCCGTTCCCCCGCGGTGGCCTCTGTGTCCTGCGGGGGCAGCCGGCGCCTGGGGGGCCGGTTCTTGGTCTTCATGGCTCCAGGCTAGTTGTCCCCGCAGGTGCTGGCTCTCAGGGAGGCCCTTGGAACTGAAATCCAGAACACAGGCCACCCTGTGGTCACACGGCAGGCGGGTGGGTGCTGAGGACGCCCAGCGGACACTCAGGGCAGCCGTGCCCGTCAGCCCCTGGCTGCCCAGTGGCAGCTGCCCACTTAGTGCACAGTGACCCCAGGCCCTTTCCCCCTCCCACGTGGAAGCCCCGAGCCGAACCCCCACCCACTCCCGTTTGACCTCACGGTGATCCCTCAGACTTTTCTCTGGTGCCCCCTCTCAACTCGACATGGGCTGATCCCCGGCACTTTCCCTGGCCCCCCGCTCCTCCCTGCCCCCCGAGCTTCGGGGGCCTTCAACACTTTTCTCAGACCACCCAGAGACGTGGCGGGACGCTAGCTGGGCGCAGGGTGGGCCTGGGGTTGCCGCGCCTCCCATCTGCCCTGATGGACGGGCGCCCGCTCCAGCCGCCTGCCTGACCCGCGGCCCGCTGGATGTCACCCACGCAGGGGAGGCACTGGGGCCAGAACCGCTGCGGACATGGGGCAGCTGTCCGCGGTCAGAGGTCGACAGTGGCCCGAGCCTGCCACAGCCCCCGGTCCCACCACGTGGGCGGCCCCCCCGCTCCCACCCCCTCACCGCGACCCCACCAGGACCCGCCGCTCGGTCCTCTCCCTCGGCCCCGCCGGGATCCCCCGCCCCCACTTACCTGGAGATCCGCAGCTGCACGCGCCGGGGCTGCCCACGGGGGACAAGGACACGTCGCTTTAGCCGCCCCGGGCGGGGCCGAGGCCGCATGTAAATGAGCCCGCGGGGCGGGGCCGGGGCGGGGCCGGTGTGAGCGTGTCCCTGCCCGGCGGCGGGGGCGGGGGCGCACCTGCGGGCGGGGAGGCGGGGCGGCGCCCCCCTCGCTCCCGGCGGCCGGGGCCTGCCCGCCGCGCGGAGCCCGGGTCTGAAGCCCATTCGGCGGAGGGGGAGACTGAGGCGTCCGCGAGCCCGCGCGCGCGGAGGGAAGCCCTGCGACAGCGCCTGGCCGCTGCACCTGGCCTTGAGGTGAGGGCTCGGAACGCGAGCCGAAGCCCGAAGAAGCGCTGGCGGAAAAGCCATTTTGCAGCAACACTAGCTTCTCAAAGGGGCAGCAGCCGCCGGGGGCCTCGCGAGCCCCCCCGCCCCCCAGCTCTCCGCAGGGCGGCAGGTCCAGGGGCGAGTGGGCGGAGCCCTGCCCCGCGGAGCGCCTGCTCGGCCGCTGCGCGCGGGTCGCGGGGACCTACGCGGCCCTCGGTCTCACGAGGTCTCCCGCGGGGCCAGGGGTGCTCAGCTTGGGCTCAGACCCGGCTTCCATGATCGCCGGCCTGCCTGCCTCAGTTTCCTTACCCTTCACAGCAGCATGAACAGGTGTTAAAAGCAGCCCCTGGCTTAGGGGTTCTTCCAGGCTGACGGGGCGCACCTGCAGCGCCGTGAGGTCCCGCGTGGGCCTGGCCTCCCGCCCGTGGGCCCAGCAGGACCAGGGTCCGCGCTGACCTCGCACTTCCCCGAGGGGCTCACAGGGGTGCTCCTAGTCTCCATCTGGCCGCGGAGGGGCTCGGGGGAGTTGGTGTGACCGAAGTCGGGGCCAGGCCTGCTTGGTAGGAGGCCGTTACTGCGCTCTGGGCGGCTGGGACAGGCGAGCGAGGGCCACTGAGGGAGGCTGGTGCGGAGCGGATTAGCCTCTCGGCTTAGAGCTCAGCAGAGGCTGCATCTCAGAAGCTACAGTGCTTCCGAAACTCATCAATAAAGGCTTCCGATTACAGAAGCACCTTGAGGAGGCCCAAGCATGACATTTGCAAGTTCAGTTTTTCAGTGATTACACAGACTTCCGTGTTCTCAGGAGCGTGGGGGATGCAGGTCATGGAAAAGGGCGCGCTTTCTCTAGGGACCCAGGGCCACTGGCTGCTAGTGCCCGCGGCAGGGCAGTGCCAGGCCACCAGGCCACCAGCCCCGGGCCTCACAGAGCAGCGGGAAAACCAGGAAAGAAACGCAGCAACAGAGTTTATAAATATATAACTATATTTATTTTGAATATTAAATAGTTTTTAAATTACAAGCAATTTATTGAATCACACTATGCATCAATATACAGTAAAAATCTTACAATTTAAAAATGTACACAATTTAAACTGAACGTTCATTAGCTGTGATATTGCCGTGAACCTCTCACAACTGTGTTAAAGCACAACAGGGAAGCCGCGTGGGTGGGACTGCCCCATGGGCCCCGCCGCAGACCGGACTCAACAGGGGATGCTCGCACCGCCCGCTGGGAGGCCTGCCCGCGCTTGTGTGAGCCTGAGCAACCTAGTTCAAGCCATTTGGGTAACAGGCTGTTGGTAGCTCAATACTGTCTGCACATCTGTCAGAACTTACGCGTGCACTGAAGAGTCTCTTCGTTAGCAGCCCAAACTGGAGCCAGCCCCGCTACTGTCAGGAACATTGTTCACGAGACTGAAATCTGAAGTAACCGAGTTACCCATTCTTATTTTAAGGCTACTTCTCATAGGCTATTCTTCTGAAGCCCCGATCACTGAGCCCAACACTTGGAGCCTAGCACTGGGTTCACGTCCGGAATCGTCAGGCGATGGGCTGAGTCAGGTAAAACCAGGCGCGGCCTCCCTCGCGCCCCGGGCCCTCAGGACTGACATGCAGTAAGTCACTAACCCTACAAGTACCCTATGGAAAATGTGAATAAAGGGAGTGGTTTTGAAAGGCGTTTTACGGCAGCAAGACATACAAAGACTTTTCTAAGATAAAACCCATTTCTATAGAAACAATCACCTGTACGTTTAAAAATAGAACGAATGCTGTTTCCAATTCAGCTTCGCGGAGCTTCTTCACCCTTAAGATGAATGGCTTCTTACCCAGACGCACAGTCCAAGTTCCAGAAGGATTTGGGGAGCACTTTTATTTCTTTTTCTGGCTTATGACAGGATCGTTTGATAACACAAATTAACATCTAGCTAGGAAGGAAGTGAAAGTTCTTTTTATTACAGGATTTAAAATACGTTAACTCCACCAGAGTAGCACTAATTAAAACCTGACAGATTCCAAAGAAGGCCAGGAAAATGCCACTGTGAACCAGGTATTATCAACCTCACCCATATTATCTGGAGAATTCCACTGATTTATTTCATTGCATAACTTATTAGAACAAGTTTGGTCTGAAAACCCACTATTGGTAACCAACGTAGTAAAAAAAAAACAAAAAACAAAACAAAAAAACCCCCAAAAAACAAAAAGAAAACCTGACTTGAACAACAAAGCACATGCTGACACTTCAAAGATGGGCCAAAAATTCTCATCTACATAATTGGTTTCCCGTGTATTGCTTGAGATTTCAAAAGAACATGTTGACTCACGTGTTTATTATAAATATAAAATCTTCCCCACCATGCAACACCACAGTAAGATTTACTACTCCAACCCACCCCCCCAACTCAATGTATAAAATGCTTTCTTTTGGCAATTAATCATGACAGCAAGATAGACCTAAAATAAATTAAAATGGGAATTAGGTTGTTAAAATCTCCTTAATCATAGTGAAAAAGGTACAGCCCCCGAATATCAATAAACTTATCCCGGGCTGATTATACAAGAAGACTATATATTCTATGGATCTGCTTGACTTTTAGTCATTAAATCTGAACTCGTTATAGTTTGAAAAAACTTGTATTAATTATCACCTCTCATGTATCTCTTAACAAAGACTGATAGTTAGATGTAAAAATTCAGGAAACTCAGGAAGTCTTCACAGCAAGAAATTCAGAGTTATGACAGTTTTGGCAAAATCACCTTCTAATGCCCTATTAACTTTTCCTTGTTCAGCTCCCTGCTCACACCAAGTGGAGGGTAAAGGGGGCTCTTTCTCCATTCTGAGTTCTTGCTCTGGAAAGTTATTGCTAGTATAAAACGTTAGTGGAGCGAACTAGAATTGATAATAAAGGTCACAATTTACTTTGTAAACTCTAGCCAGCACACACAACTGCATCTTGCGCTAGGACCAGGGTCGCTGGGATTTCTATCACGCAGCCCCGGGGGACCTGTGTTACGCTGGAGTCGGGGAAGCAAATCAGCACCGAAAACATTTGGGGTGAAGGGCCAGTGTGTGGTGACCACAGACCCGACGCCCGACCCCAGTACACACGGCTTCACGGCGGACATGCCAAGCCTCCTTCAGCACATGCTGCTCTAGGCCCTGGAAACTTCCTGATGTCAAAGCAGAACTCACAGAGTGCAGAATGAGCTCAGCTTTTTATCACGAACACCCAACTCCTGGCAACGTTAGGAGGTGGCGCTGGACACACTCGGTCCTTTTCAAGGCAAGGGGAGAACGTGGTGCTTAAGCAGAAGGGGAGGGTCAGTGCAGATGAGTCCCAGGGCCGCATCCGGGTGGGAGGCCCCGAGCGGGAGGACGTGCTGGCTGCGCAGGCTCGCCGTGGTCTCGCGTCCCTGCTCCCGGCTGCGGGAGGTAGCGAATCTCCTCGGTTAGAGAGCCCGGCCGCCGCGGGCCGTGACGCAGACTGGCTCTTCCAGGAAAATTCCAGGAAAAACTCTGGACGTTATTTGAAAGCTCAACACCCAGTGCGTACAACAGAACGAACTCAGACTGTCCTCGGCAACCAGAGCCCTGCGCGGGCAGCTTCCTCCTCAGAGTTTGGCACCGGCTGAAGGAAGGAGCTACAGGGACACCGAAGGCCCAGCAGCCTGTGCTTCCAAACACTAAGCAGAGGAGCCGGCGTGACGGGAGGTGGCTCAGGGGCCACAGCAGAGCGCGGCTCCCAGGGAGAGGGGCAGGACAGACACCTGGACGTTCTGACCCGAAGCGGAGTTCTGGGGGGGAACCACCTGTCAAGTTTTACCGAAGGGTCTAAGAAAATGGGGGAGCGGGGTGAGAGAATCACACAGAGGGGCTGCGAGACCCTTCAGCTCCTCAGAAAAGCGTCACTTGCTACAAGGAACCTGCGTTATAGAAAGAGACAAACGTATGTTTCATTCGGTCAACAGAACAAAGCAGTCTTTTTGGACTCATCAAAAATATTTCCTATAAGAACAAAAAACACTAACATTCGGAATCATGTATCATTTACGAAAAAGTACCATATGTACAATTCCAACAATTCTAGACAGCAGAACACTCAAAATATTTAAACTTTACAAGTACCATGCAAAGCAAACAAACTTATTATAAAACAGAGAAAGAAATCAAACTAGTGGATAGCACCAGCTTGACCTGCCTTATTTTCCTTGAATAATTTACGATTCTGTACAATATCAGGTACTCTTAGAACACTTATCCACAGTGCAATTACAGAGAGCAATTAGTGATTTCTTTAAAAATAATAAATACGGCTCACTGGTGCCCATTCCCATCGTGCTCCTCTGGGCCCTCACGCACAGAAGGGATGCACAGTGTGGAGGCGGAGAACACCCCACATGGAAAACAACCCCGAGCCTACAGTTCCCCACACACCAGGGCAGGGTCGACGCTCCCCAAGGATGACCAGGGCGCGAGGACCTCGGGCGGGTGAGAGCGGCCCAGGGCCTCCCCCGCCGGACTGCCCGCCGTGGGCACGGAGCCAGCGCGGCTCCGTCCCGGCTGCCTGAGTCTCTCTCCTGGGCCGGGCCCACTGCAGCCGATGTGGAGGGATGTCACTGCTGGGCTCAGTGCAGGAATGCCGCCCTGGGGGAGCAGCCTGGGACCTGGGAGCGCATCCGTGTCCACCTAATCCTTTTCTCCGTCTTCGCTGCTTCCTATTTCAGGGAGAACAAGCAAAGCTGGGTTTGTGAAGTGATCGGCACAGATAAAAATAAGTGTGGACAGCATGTGACCTGCGCTACAGAAAGAGGAACCGAAGCTGGGAGTGGGGCTGCCCGCCACCTGCTCGAGCCGTGGAGCTTCCTGTCACAGCAGCACCTGCCAGACTCTGGCACGCTCTCGCGCACACATCTGCTCAGCTCACACGCCGCTCGGCGTCCGTGCTCAGGGCACAGGAGAAAGTCAGCCCCGATCTCTGACAGATCGCTAGGTAATGGGCATTATCTAATCGGCACAATTAAACAGAGCACGAACACAAATGAAAGCTCTTTATGTTTCATAGTTAGTATTTGAACTGCAAACTTCAAATCAAAAAAAATGTACCTATTAGCATTTATCTTCCAATCGGGTTATGGGGAAAAAAGGATCCATATGTTCAGATAATACCACTTCAAATGCGCCCTGCCCGTGACTTCCCACCCAGGCCTCTGCTATCACACAAGACCAAGACTTAATGGCAAAATCAATATTCCCTGGGAAGAGCCAGAGCACATTTGGGCTCAATCCCAAAATCTCGGGCCAAGTGTTTTTAAGAACGGCTTCTCTCTGGGGGAAAGAAGCAGAGATGGGCGGGGGGTGGAGGGGGTTGTGGCAAAAGGGGAGAAAATAGAACAGAAGGTGGCAGACGCGCTGCAGCCAGGCGCCACCGGGCTGCCTCGCCCCACAGGGGCCGCAAGGGGGCAGCTCGAGTAGCCCGCGGTGTGTGGAGTGACAGAGGCCTACACGTGGGGGACGTGGCTCCGAGAGCGTGCGCTCAGGACTGTGAGGGCCGCATAAAGGATTTTCTTACAATCTACTCTGCAAACACTAGGAAGGCACCAAATTAATAAGCACGCAAGTCCAGCAGGGACGGTCTCCCAGGCTGGCCCCCACCCCCTCTCACCTCCTTGTTCAATGTCCGAGTCAGTAAGGTGTGTGAGAGAAAAGCTGGCGATGTTGGCAGGAGAGATGGAGAATCTGGAATACGGCGGCGCGTGGGGCCAGCTCTGTTCCGCACTCCGGGGCGGTGGAGGCGGTGAGAAGTACTTGGATGTCTGAAGAGAAGGCTTCGAACTAAGAAGGTTACTTGTTGTCTTCGACATAAAAGGGTCGGGGGAGAAGTCATCATCCCATTCAAAGCCTCCACCTAGAAAGAAAAAATAAAAACAGCTCTCCTTTTACAATAGAACAGAGAATTGCGGGGGGCGGGGCGGGGGGGGGGCAAGCACACAGGTCTGCTCCGCAGATCAACCAGAACCAACTTGGGCCTGACAGATTGCAGAGCCGCTCCCGGGTGTCTTAAGAGTGTCATTTAAAACAATCCATGATGTTATCCTCCAAAAAGTTCACCTTATTCACAAAGCACTATTTTTTAGTTTCTTTTTAAACCCATCAGTGAAGTGAGGTACCTTCTTCATCAGTTGAGCTTTCCGAATTGATGCACCTGCTCAGGTAGGGAGAGCCTGAAGAAGGTGCCGGGCTGTTCAACTCGGGGCCACGTGCATCTCCTCCACAGTGCCCCAGCTCTTTGGTTGGGGTCTCCTGAAAAGCCAGAGAGAAATGCCCATCAGCGAAGGCCTGCTCTCCCTCCCCCGCTCCACTGTACACGTAGCAGGCCGGCACCGTGTCTGACTGACAGGGTGGGCTCTGGGCCTGGGGAAGCTGCAAGAGGAACACACAGCCCCGTCTCTCCCACCGAAGCAGCTCTGACACCCGGGCAGAATGCATGCAGCAGCTGCTGGAGGCCTCCGAAAAGTAAACAGTAGCAGGCTGGTTGGGAAAGAATGCCAGAACTCAAAGTACACCAAAGCAGCCGTGGATCTGCTGTCCTCCCACTGCCCCTGCCTCAACAGCTCCGGGCCTGGACCCAGCACAGCTCGAGATCCAAAGTGGCCACTGGGGTGGACAGAGAGAGCTCCAGAAGCCCTTTGGTTCCGGTTCTGAAGCAGGCAGGGGCTCTTCTGACCCTCGGAGGCTGGGGGCGGGGGGGTGGTGGAATTCCACATTTTCCCCCTCCATTCTCTTGCTCCCCAGCCCCGAGCAATCCTGGGGTGACAGGCACCTATATCCTGAGGGAGGTGACCTCCCTCTCCGCCTGGAGGAACTGGGATCCCAGAGAGTGAGAAGCCCAGTGCTTGTCTTCCTCTGTCCAGTGGCATGAAGTGAGCAGCACAGGGTGCTGACGAAAGCCCCAGCTCTTTAGCGGGGGGCGGGTGGGGCAAGACAACCAGAAGTACCAGGGACACAGAGGGAGAGGCTCAGGAAAGCTACCCCATCACGTTTATGAGCTCCCGCCTCACCTCCAAGCTGTGTGTGGTAGAGCTGACTCTCAAGAGCACACCAAAGCTCTAAGAACTGAACTGCAGGGTGGACCACGGCCAAGATCCATCCTGGCCAGTCGGGGGGCACATGCAGAGGACAGATTCAAACAGTACAGCAAAAGCTTTGAAAGGGGAACCCCAATCCACAGAAGGACTGTTAGGACTTGGGACCTGAATCCCAATGGGTCAATGCCTGCTAGAACAAAAACGTCAGCAGTCTCCTGAGAATCTAAACAAGACACAAAGTCTCATAACACACTAAGGATACAGTCTAAAATCAGTCCGGATACAAAGAATCAGGAAACTCTCACTGCACAGGGAAGAAGACAATCTACAGATGCCATGCCAAGGTGACACAGACGCTGGAATTCTCTGAAAGGCTATCATGAAAACGTTCCTACAAGCAAGAGCAAACGTTCTTGAAATGGACGTAAACAGACCAAAGTTTCCGCAAAAGAACAGATGACGAAAATAATAACAAAATGCCAATTTCAAAAATAGAAAAATACAGCAGCTAAAACCTAAAAACCCCATGGATGGACTCAGTATCAGAACGGAGATGACCAAGAGTGAGTGAGTTTGAAGGAGATCAACAGAAATGACCCAATCCGAACAACAATGAAAACTGAAAAAAGCCACGGGGCCAGACACAGCAGTCTGACACTGGCAAGCCAGCAGGAGGGGACTCAGAGCATGATGAAAGACATAAGACTACAGATCAAGACGCTCAGCAAATTTGAAACAGGGTAAATTCAAAGAAATCCATGCCAATAATCAAACTGCTAAGAAGAAAAAGAACTTTTGCAAAGAAAGAAATCCTGGCAGCAATCAGACATAATACTGAGAGAACGGTCAACTCAGAATTCTATATTCAGAGAAAACATCCTTAAGGAATGAGGGAAACGAAGATTATCTTGTCAGTAGGTTTGATTTAAAAAAAAAAAAAAAAAAGGAAAAAAAGGCCAAACAAACTTCTTCAAACAGAAGGGAAAGAATCCTAGAACATCAAAAATGAAAAGAGACAAATGGTAGGGACTGTCTTGGTAAACAGAACCCTATTAGTCTCCCCTTGAGTTTCTTTTATTTTTTATTTCATTAGGTTATGTTAATCACCATACATTACAGCATTAGTTTTTGATCCCCTTGAGTTTCTTAAAACATGTTTGATCACTGGGAGTAAAATGCAGAGCACTGTCTGATGGGGCTTGAGAGTCCGTGCCTGGAATATACCAGACAATGGTAATAAGGTTTCTACATTCCACATGAAATGGTAAAGTGCTGACTCTAAATAGATTGTAAAAAGTCAAGTATGTGTATTGTAATCCCCCAAACCACTACAGAAACTATACTGAGAGAAGATACACAGTAAAAAATGTGACAGATAAATTCAAAGGTAATACTAAAAAATGCTTAAATTACCACAAAGAAGACAGGAAGGAAGGAGGAAGCAAGAACCAGAGGAAGAAACAGTGAACAAAAAAGTACGCCAAAATTCAAACAAGACCAATTTTATTAAATGTAAGTGGCCTAAAACTATCAATTAAAAAGAATTTTTCAGAATAGATTTAAGAAACTCTTTGCTATTCACAAGAAACCAATGTCAACCATAATGATATAATAACACTGAAAGTACAAGGATGAAGAAAGACACATCATGCAAGTACCAATCAAGAGAAAACCATGAGTGGCTACATGAGTATCCGACAAAGGAATACAGAAGGACGTTATATAACAATTAAACAGGTCAGTTCGACCTTTTCAAGAAGATCTGTAGTCATCTTAAATGTCCATGCAGCTAACAACAGAGCCACAAAACAGAGGAAGCACAAATGAACAGAAATGAAGAGAGAGTCAAATCCACAATCGCAGCTGGAGATTTCAAAACCTCTCCCTCCCTCCCTCCCTTCCCCCCTCCCCCCCACCACAGATGGGACTCCCGGCACACAGGAAAATCAGCAGCAGTGTAGAAGAACTGAACACTATCAACCATCTAGACCTGACAGGCTCTTTCTTTCTTTCTTTTTAAAGATTTTTCAAAATTTACTTAAAGGGGGGGGGGGGGGGGAGAGTGCACACACACGTGCCTGAGCAGTGGGAGGGACAGAGGGAGAGGGAGAAGCAGGCTTTCCACTGAGCAGGGAGCCAGATGCGGAGCTCCATCCTGAGACTCTGGGATCATGACCTGAGCCGAAGGCAGATGCTTAGCCGACTGAGCCACCCAGGCGCCCCTAGGCACATTCTTTCAAGTACACATGGAACATTCACCAAGACAGACCATGGCCTGGCTCTAAACAAACCTCTCTAAGTTCAGAGGAACTGAAACCATACCAAACCTGCTCTCTGACCGTAATGGAATTGGCCTAGAAATCAATTAACAGGGGTGCCTGGGTGGCTCAGTGGTTAAGCGTCTGCCTTCGGCTCAGGTCATGATCCCAGGGTCCTGGGATTGAGCCCTACATCGGGCTCCCTGCTCCACGGGAAGCCTGCTTCTCCCTCTCCCACTCCCCCTGCTTGTGTCCCTGCTCTAAAAAAGAAATCAATTAACAGATGCAAGAAAATCTTCAGCCCTTCATTTGTAGAGAGGCTGAAGTCTGAGCTCACAGAACAGTGCTCAGCAGACACAGAAGGGCGGGAGGGTCTCAGACTCTGCCGCTGCCTGGTCCCAATCCGCAGGGACCAGCACCTCTGGGGCTACCTGTGAGCCATGGACTGTTCCAGCTTGCACCTGCGTGCTGGCTATTGCGGCCAACTGCTGATTATGGAAATTTGGTCTGTAAAGAGTAGCTAATTTCAGTAGGACTCTGTCAGCAAATCCAGAAGGGGCATCCAGGTCTCCTTCCCTTCATTTAATAGTTCCCTGTTCAAACTACATTTCTGCATATTCTTGAAACTGTAACCAAACCAAATTCCTATTTTATTTATTTATTTGAGAGAGAGAGAAAGAGAGCACGTACACACACACGAGCAGAGAGGAGAGGGAGAAGCAGGTTCCCTGTGACCAGGGAGCTTGATGTGGGGCTCGATCTCGGGACCCTGAGATCATGACCTGAGCCAAAGGCAGACGCTTAACCCAGGCCCCCCAAATTCCTATTTTTGAGGAATCATAAAACAGATTGGCGGCCTCAAAACAGCAATCAGGAAAACAAAGCACACTCGATTTCCTAACACACCTTGGAATTCTCTAATATGACAGTTTGTAGGTTAACAGGTACCTGGTCAAACAGATAGACTGTGACATCGTCAAAAAATGTCACTGCCTTCTTTTCTTTTTTCCAGTCATCGGGGAGCTGATCAACGGCAACGGTGGCCGAGGATTTCAACAGGCTCCGTAAGTGCTTCCCATCCTCGTTGCTGAGGATCACAGGCACGGGGTGCTCGGTCTCATCCTCTGACTCGGAGCTGAGGCTGTGCAGATTGAATGCCCGCAGGTCCTCGTCGGAGTCGTCACTGTTTTCGTCTTCCTCGTCTGCCTCAATGCCGTCCTCAGAGAGGTCGAGCATGCCCGACGCACCAAGTTTCCCCAAGTATTTCCCTTCAATATCTGGCTCTTTCAACTTGGGGCCCTCGGCGTGGCCGCACAGGGACTTCTCCACCGTCAGCTCTGACGCGCTGCCGGAACAGAGGGTGGCGTTTGCAAAGGCGAGGAGCTCATTGGTGTTGGTGCCGGTGGAGGTGAGCGTGCAGGGGCGCCCCTCTTGTGCCTCGAAGTCGTCACCGCTGCTTGGCTCGGAATTCAACAAACTCAAGGGACTGCCAGCCTCGTCTTCAGGAGGAGGCGTCTGCTGGGAAACATCAGCTGGTGCCGGTCCCGACATTTCTCTCAACTCCAGGTGACTTTCGGAATCTTGAGACGCAGGTAGACAAGTTTGGTCTGGCTGGCCAGGTCTGGTTTCCCGGCAACCGTCCTTGGTGCCAGGACTTTGCTCTGGGATGACTGGCTCCGGCAGGGGCTGATCCGTTACCAATTCCAAGGCTGAAGCTGAGGGTCCTGGGACCCCCTCGGACTTCTTATCCGGCTCAGAGTCATTATCTGAGAAGTAAGCAGAGTCTCGGTAGGAGCTCTGAGGGCCAGGTGCGAATGTCTGCGAGGTCACTTCTGTACCTCTGTGGCCATCGGCTGCGTCTGAGATGATGATGACCGGGTTGGGAGGCAAACTGCTATGACCGCTGTCACCCACTGTGGCCGTCTCTGAGGCTGCGGTGCCGTCGGAAGCAGGGTGCAGAGTCCATTCGGGGGACTCCAAGTTCTCGGTCTCGTAGCCACTGTCCGCAGGCTTATCAGGGGGCAGGAGTTTCTGAGGCGCATGAGAGCCTAAAGAACCCAATAAAACTTCATGGACATCCACTGAATCCAGAGAGTCTGGGGTCTCCACAGACTGTTCTGAAGTCGGAATGGGTGTTGACAAGCTGTCTTCTAAAAGGCTGTCTTGACTGGTTGAGTCTGAGGAGAGGGCAGACACCAAGCCCCCCTCTTTTGTAGCATCTTTACAATGCAGCTGACTCAAAGTCTCCACAGCTTCCACGTTTTTCTCCAGCAGACTGTTGCTGTGATGGTCTTCTGAAAGGGGCTGGTTTTGTAAGTTCTGTCTCAATTCTGGAAGATTACTTCCTATACTCACCTTATTGGCAAAAAGGTCATCAACGAGAACTGAGTCACTTTTGGTCAGTCTCAAGGCCTCTGGACTTTGGTGGGTCAAGTCATGGGACCTGTCGCAAATGCCGTGTGGTTTGGCATCAGTTGAGGGGATCACAACTGTGATGGCCACAGAGTCTGGACTGATTTCTTGGTAGAGACAGTCTTCCTGGACACTGACATCTGAACATGTGGGTTCTCCCTGCTTCAGGAACATATCTGGAGGTACGTGATGAGGTGTTCTTTCTGTTTCGAGAGAGGTAGGAGGGACCTGCACTTCCGGGGAAGACTGTGATGAGGTGTTCAAAATGTTGTCCTTGAACACGACACCTGTGTCTTTACCTTTTGCGCTTATGTTTTCCTGCAACAAAGAAAAGCCTGGTTTATTTTCAGCAAACTTAACCTCAGGATCTAGAGAACTTCTGCGTGGAGTTTCTAACATTGTTTCAGTGACACCAGCGTTTTTAAGTTCTGTTTGGAGATCATTTACATGTTCTTTGCTAGACAATGAGTCTTTTAGTAAGTTCTTCTCTTGAAGAAATAAAAAGTTTTCTGACAATTCTTGAACAGTCAGTGGATCAAAATTATCCTGGTGCAAAATGTTTTCTGATAAGCAAAGAGGCTCACAGTCAAAAAGCTTACGGGGCTTTTCTTTCTCAAAGTGGCACGTTGTTACGGACTCTCTGGAGGCATCCAGACTTGAACTTAAAGTGGTCGGCTTCGAGTCCGTTTGAACTCCATTTAGTTCCATTAAGTCAAATATTTTTTGGTGCCTGGGCAGACCATCTGATTTGTCCAGATCATTAAATATACTGTTGAAGGGGCTCTCAGGGCCCCTGGGAGCATGGACATCCTCGGGGATGCTGGAATCTTTGGGGTCTGTACTGCTTTGGAAGAAATCCTCATCTGTACTGGACTCCTCAAATTCCAGATTCTTGAGTGTCAGAAACTGGGACGTCTCATCACTTATCTTCTCTGGGTTATCCATCTCGGTTGTGAGCAGTGCGGGCGGGTAATCGAGCTCCAAGTTGCTACCACTTTTTTCTTCCAACTGGATATAATAGTCGCTTCCAACAGAAAGGTTGTGGGCATCAAATACAGGAACCACTCCAGGGGCCCCACGGGGGACATCCTGGCCACTGTCGTCTTGTTTCCCCGGCCCAGGATCTGAAAGTGAACTCTCAAAAACTTCAACTGGGAAGAAGATGCTTGTGTAGGACAAGGCTTCGTCCGGGGCACCCCGACTGTGCTCGTCAAAGTGGTCATGCTTAGCCGCCTCCCAGACATACTCAAAGCTCAGGCCCTGGCTGGTCTCAGTCACGGTGAGGACCTCCTCCATCTCGCGACCAAGCCGATCCCTGGCAAAATGGTCGAGAATTGGGAAGGCAGCATTACTTGAAGTGTCTCTGCTATTTGTATTTGGTTTAAGAGCATTCCACTGTTGTTCAAAGTCAACTTCTGAGTCCCTTTGGCTTTGCATCCGCAGGTAGGTGAGCAACCTATGCACGTCCTCGGCCGCTGGTCTCTTGTCTGGCGACAGCCAGCAAAATTGCAAAACTTCATACCTGAATGACAATTGAGAGGTAATTAATGGATTGATGATAAATTGCTTTATTCATTTTTTTTTTAAAGATTTTTCATTTATTTATTTAGACAGAGAGAGTGAGAGTAGCAGAGGGAGAGAGAGAAGCAGACTCCCAACTGAGCAAGGAGCCCGATGCGGGGCTCGAACCCAGGACCTCGGGATCATGACCCGAGCCAAAGGCAGACACTCAACGACTGAGCCACCCAGGCGCCCCAATGGTAAACTGCTTTAAAATAAGAAAGGACTTCACAAGGACTCCTAAGCCAACCCAACATCTCAAAAGTTTCTATGCTATGACCACTGTCAACCACATGAAGCAGCTCAGTTCATGGTGAAAGAGGAAATAAAGAAATATAAAAATATAAAATCCTAGCTCTTTGTGTTCCCAGGACACTTCACGGTATTGGTGTCTGTCATTTGTTTTTCTAGTGTGTATCCAGTGACTTAGCCCCAGAATTTAGAAACAGTTTTCATAACATTTATTGTTTAAAAAGAGGGAATATACAACACCCAAAGAAAGAGACAACAAAACATAAAATGGAGTTACCCACCATCTATCAGAATAAGGCTGCTCCAGCTGAGGCTTAGGGAGCTTTGTGTCTCTCTCTCGAATCACCTGATTGAGAACATCTAAGTTGGAAAGGCTGGAATAAGGCTGAGCAGCATTATCAAAAAGCTCCCAAAGTGTCACACCCAGGGACCTGTGGAAAAAAGAAAACAGTTATTTCTTCTTCCCTTTATAGATGTCAAATTTTTCAGCACCAGTATCTTCATTTGTACACTCATTAGTGACTTTACGAACAAGGTGTGTACTGAAAAGGTACACAGATAAAGACAACTCTTTAACGTGATTTTTAAAAAGAGGCATTTTCAAAAAAATGAGGACAAGTATGCCTCCTCATATTTACGTATTTACTACGGAGTACTCTAGAAGTTTTGGCCAATGCAAAAAAAAAAAATTAAACAGATAACAGGCACAATTATAGAGAGGAGCTAATGTGACTGTCAACTTTAAATTCAAGAAATTATTTGAAAGATCACAGGGCGCCTAGGTGGCTCTGACGTTAGGCGTCTGCCTTCGGCTCAGGTCATGATCCCAGAGTCCTGGGATCAAGCCCCGCATCGGGCTCCCTGCTCCACGGGAAGCCTGCTCCTCCCTCTCCCACTCCCCCTGCTTGTATTCCCTCTCTCACTGTGTCTCTCTCTGTCAAATAAATAAATAAAATCTTTAAAAAAAAAAAAAAGAAAGAAAGATCCTTAGAATTATTTCAGAGTTCAGCGAGATGGTGAAATACAAGATAAATATCCTGAGGTGGACAAAAAAAAAAAAAATCCCATTCACAATAGTAGTAAACACCAGAAAATATATCAGAGAAACCTTTATATAAACAAATAATCTCTTCTTTGGTGGATCCACACAATTCCCAACAGTGTGGGTTTGGTTGCTATTATGAAGGGACTTCTTGCCATCATTCTGCCACCTTTTTTGTGTGTCTGCCACCTGCCCGAGCCTCTCGATGCCTCCAGGTTCTCGGCTGTTACCACAGGCAGGAGGGAATGCCCCTTCTTGGTACCCATTCCGTTCTCTCACGCCAAGGGCTCTGTTGCCATGGAAACGGCCTCTACAGCTCAGATGTACACTTACTCTCCACCTCCTCTGTGCAGTCTCCGGGTTTCTATCCCAGCACGAGCCTTTGGTCGTGTAGCAGCATCTCCTATCACTGCAATGGCCCCTAAATCTGGCTGACCACCTGTGTCATCTGGGAATACAGAGGTATTTAGGACCCACCCCCAAGAACTCTCAGTTGGTAGATGCAGGTGTGGCCTAGGAAACTGTATTTAAAAGTTCCCTAGTGATTCTGACATCCAGCCAGGTTTGGGTATTAATGGTTTACGTGACTTGGATCACTACCTCCAGAATGCTTGTTTGAATAATAAACTGCACTGAATGCGTAAGTCTATTATTGGACACTGCAGAGTACAATACAACTTATGAGTTAATTTCTGTATGCTAACTTCACAAGTCAGTGAAAAACATCAGCATATTCAGTATCTAAGTTGAGAAATCACTTTTTTTTTAAGATTTTTTTTTTATTTATTTATTTGAGAGAGAATGAGAGAGAGCAAGCACAAGAGAGGGGGGAGGGTCAGAGGGAGAAGCAGACTCCCTGCCGAGCAGGGAGCCCGACACAGGACTCGATCCGGGGACTCCAGGATCATGACCTGAGCCGAAGGCAGTCGCCCAACCAACTGAGCCACCCAGGCGCCCGAGAAATCACTTCTATCAGAGGAAATAAATGGACCCAAATTTCACAACTCAATTCAAGAAATAAAACACTTCTTTTCCCTGGCACAGACTTGCCAGAGGCAGAGGGTCGTTCTGGGTACAAAAAAGTTTAAGACACTATCGATGACGTTAGGGAGTTTATAATTTAACTGAGGAAAATAAGACATTCACATGAAACACTAAAGACCACAGAGATAGTATATAATTAATGGCAAAATGAGTGTTACCGCTACCATGCTTGGTGTGATCTTGGGCATATAACTACCTGTGTCAATTTCTCCAAATCCCTGATTTAACTCACTTCCCCTCCCCCATTCCCAAATCAAAGCCCTCTCCAGCCCCCAGCCCACCCTGTTCTTCAGAGAACACGAAGCATGGGCTTTCTCAACTCCCCACTCCACCAATCCTAGCATCTCTATGCATCGCCTACTCATCTCCTCCGGCCACAGAGAAAGATGAGACACGTCTCCTCCTCAAGGTCTGTCCCTGCCCCGGAGCTCTCTACTCTACCCCGTGCAGTGTCCTCCAGGATAACCACCACCAATCACTGTCACTGGTCCCTAGCTATTCAATTCTTCACTTTGTACTGACTCTTGCATCCTTGAGTACCACTGGCCTCTCCCCTCTGGGGAACAAAAGGTGTCCTGTAGTTCTTACCCTCTTTTCCACTCAACTCTCTAAGAGCGGCCCCTCTTGTTCCCCCTGGTACAGGGCAGCGTGGGCCCTGCCTTGGGCTGCAGCTGGCACCACGGCCGGCCCTGCCACCAGAGACTTCTCAAAGTGTTAGCAACAAGGGCTGGGCTCTGTCTCTGGGGACACAGGCTAAGTTTGCAGGTCCAACACCCTGCTAGGAACAGTAAAAATAGGGATAAAGCATACAAAGCATCTTTTTAAAGGTATCACAGATGGGCTAGCAGGGAATTGCCAGGAAAAACTCCAGAACTTGAAGAACTAAGGAGAATACTAAACCACCTTTGAGCTGGTGCTTTTGCTGAAGCACAGAACTCGGGCTTTTGTGGTCTTGGTTTACGAGGCAATGCGGGTGCTGGTAAACAGCCCTGGGCCTGCCCAAGCTAAGGGGAATCACAGAGACACCTCCTCACAGTGAGCTTAAACCTGCCCCTGCTGCCTCCCTCCAGGAGCCTGAAAGGCAAGGTGACTCAGCACTGAGGCACGGTGAGTTAGGGTACGTGTGTATGACTGTGTGAGTGTGTGTGTGCGTGTGTGTAAGGGGGGTGTGGTCCCTAACAAGCTGTAACCACAGAGCTGATCCTTGATTGCATTTGCAGCCCAAATTCACAACACCTGAGTGTTCAAAAAAAACCTTAAATCTGAATATGTGAAGCTCTCTTACATGGCAGGACCCCCTGGTATCCAGCACAAGCGAGTAAGTGTGGATCCTCTCTGGAGGAATGCTCCCCAATTCTAGGTTTCCAAGATCCTCACCCCAAGGAAACAAGGCACCATCAAGAACCAGCAAGACCAAATCCACTAGGACTTCAGCTACCAGAATTATCTGATGCAGATCATAATCCAGTTGTTTTAAAAACACTGGGATATGTTTTAAAAAACCAAACAGATTTCCTAAAACTGAAAAGTCAATAGCTGAACTATATAAAACTTAATAGAGAGATTTAACAGAAGAACAGACACAGCTGAAGAGAGAATTTTTAAAAAGAGAAAGAATTAGTGGCTGGAACACAGGTCTCAAAATTATCTAGAGCGTGGCCCAGAGTCAAAGAGATAGGATATATAAAGGAGAGATGAAGAGACAGAAGGCAGAGCAGGAAGGCATGACACATGTCTAAACGGACTTCCCGAAAGAGGGAAATGGAGCAGAGGCAGTATTTGAAGGGTAGGCCTGAGAACACCACCAACCTATAGATCTGAAAGCCAAATAAATCCCAAGCAGAAAAACATAAGAAATCCACACCCATACACATCATAGTGAAACTACAAAAAACCCCACAAAAAACAAAGAGAAGAATTTAAAAGCAGCCAGAGAGAAAAGGTCACATTACCTTCAAAGAGATTAGGTAGACTTACGGCTGACTTCTCAATAGCAACAATGGAAGCCAGAAGACAGTAGAACCATCTCTTCAGTATGCTGAGAGAAAGTAACTGTCACCAAGTAAAAATATATTTCAAAAATGAGGACAAAATAAAGGTATGTTCAGACCTACAAAAAACTGAGAGTCTGTTACCAGCAGGCCCTCACTATAGGAAATTCTGAAGGACATACTTCAGACAAAGGGAGAATGATCCCAGATGGAATGTCTGAGATTTAAAAAAAAAAGAAAAGAAAAAAGAAAAAAAAGAATGAAGAGCAAAGTGATTTAATTATGTGGATAAACCTAAACAAAAAAGTGCTAAAAAAAAAAACCCCAATAATAACGTCTTGTGAGGATAAAAGAAAAAAAAATACCCAATAAGATATAAGTGTGTGTGTGCATGCATGTGTGTGGTGTATAGTTAAACCAAGTTAAAGTATGTTAAAGTATCCTGAGGTCCATGTACTGTTCAGAAAGAGGGTCAAAATATGAACTAATATTAGACTAAAATAAGTGGAATACACATGTCATAACTTCTAGGGTAACCTTTAATAGTTAAAGCATAGGACTAGTGTATACAACTCTCAAACTAACGGGAAAAAGCAGTTAAAAAAAATCCAAAAGAAGGCAAGAAGAGAAAAAGAAAATAGAAAAAGCAGGATAATAGCACAAAAAATATATATATAAATTAAGAAAGCTGTAACAGAAATCGTTAGTCAAAGACAAACACATTTTTTTCAACTTTCATTAAACTGATCTCCTATAAATTACAGTATTACATATTGGTCCAAACGTCTTTCCGTTTTTTCATTTACTTTAATAAATATTTAAAATGTCTATTATACTGCAGGTCTTACAGGAGGCAAGAAAATAGACCAGTTTCCTGCTTTTGTGGACCTTATTACTGTTGAATGGGTAAGAGAAAAGTTAATTATATCATCACAATTGTGATAGTTGCTATGATGTCAAAGAATTGTCTTTACCTCACCATCAGGCACACCTGTGTTCCTAAATCTTATTCAGTTATTTTTCTTTAAGTACTCAAGGGGAAAGAAGTGAGGACTTTGCTACACAAAAGTCTAACAGAATGGTAAATCAATACCTACCAGATATTACTATACTTCGTTTGATCTGCAGTTAGTAGTCTGTCTTGAAAGCTGGTTACTAATTCTGGAGCAGTCCATCGCAGAGGGAAAATTTTTTTATCATCTGTTTCAATATAATCCTCCTGTGTTGTTAGAAAGCATACAGAATTTTAAATTCTATTAGTCTTTTAGTGAACTCAATGATTTAACACCAGGTCATTCTCAGAAAACACATGCTGAACCCAAAAGACGTATCAGAAAAAGAAGTGGGCATGAAGAGAGATTTTCTGGGCAGAAGATGGGTGAGGTTTTCTCTGAAGCCTTCTGGGCTTCGTGAGCTGCTGTCTGAGCCATGAACGCTTGCTCAGTCAGCCTTCCCGGAAAAAGAAGGTACTCCACGTCTGATGTACAGAACAGACTCTGAGCAAAACATCTTTTAAAATATGCTGGGCCTTACGCCCCGAGTAGGGCAGCAGTGCCTAAGATTAGGGACTGGCTTCTAAGTCCATGCTCAACCATTTACAGCTCGCTACCAGACTCTGGGAAAGCAACAAATATGCTAAGCCTTTTTCTTTATCTGTAAAAAGAGGATGATACAATACCCACCTCCGTTTACGGTGAGGATTAAAATAGGTAACTGCCGGCAACGACTTCATGGTGCCTGGTACATAGCAAGAGCTCAAGACACTAGAGCGACTATGCAGACAAATAACCAACTTACATTTGCGTAATGTATTTTAGTTACAAAGTACTATGAAAACATGAGCCCTGTGGTCCTCACGAGAACCCCGCAAGACGGAACAGGTATGATCCTCGTGCCGCTCTGTGGATGGCGTGGAGCCAGGACAGACAGTCACATTCTGTGCCCCATACCCTGCTACCTCATTCAGCTGGGCTACAAAAGAACACACGAAAACCTCACCTACTTCTTAGCTTGTTTGGGGATGTATTTATGGCAGAGTTTAAAAAAATCTAAACTGCAACCTTCCTTTTGAGCCAGAATTTTACTGGGGACATGTTGATATGACATGTACAGTGCATTTTATACAGGTGGTAATGATTACTGCCCATGTGTTCATACTAAAATGTGTTATGCACCACCAAGCTGTATTAATTACACTGTGTAAAAATCTTATTTTTAAACAAAGCCTTTGGAAAGCCGTCACAAAACCTCAGCACAGAGCCACCGATGTAGACAAACCACACGTCAGAAGCCAACACTGCTGTTACGATGACTAGAACAAACCATTCTCCAAAAAGGCAACATAACCAAGATTCTTAACCCCCTCTTCCAAAGCCGGGGTGGCATTCTGTGATATGACCACCTCATGACTATGAAATTAAATCAACTTCAGGAGAGAACCTTTAAACCTTGGCTTACCTTGTACCTGCTGAATCCTATTCCATAATCTCCCACTTTCACATTCAGGTCCGAGGTAAGAAAACAGTTCCGCAAGGCTAAGTCACTAAAAGCAGAAAGAGTGAAGTGAACACAAGGATAAGGGGAACCTGCAAGCAGGACACTGTCACCCCAAATTGCTATGAACAAGGCTTTCTCTATGAAGCAGAGTGGTGTGCTGAGCTCCCTGCTCAGTAATGTTTTAAAATTCTTTTTTAGGGGTGCCTGGGTGGCTCAGTTGGTTAAGCATCTGCCTTCAGCTCGGGTCATGATCTCAGGGTCCTGGGATCGTGCTCTGCATCAGGCTCCCCAGTCTGCTTCTCCCTCTGACCGTCCCCCCTCTCATGCTCTCCCTATCATACCCTCTGTTTCTATTTATTAAGATTTTATTTATTTATTTGAGAGAGAGAGAGACAGAGATAGTGAGAGAAAGCACAGGTGGGGAGAAGAGGGAGAAGCAGGCTTCCCACTGAGCAGGGAGCCTGACCCAAGACTGGATCCCAGGACCCTGGGATCATGAGCTTAGCCAAAGGCAGATGCTTAACCCACTGAGCCACCCAGGTGCCCCTAAAATTATTTTTTAACGGAAAAAGGATTATATATCATATTCTTCATTACTAAATCCATGGAGATGATAAAATTTTTTCTTACAAGTAGTAACTGCTAAAGCAAGGAACCTGGATGGCTCAGTTGGTTAAACGTCTGACTTGTGATTTCAGCTCATGAGTTGTGAGACTGGGCCCAGCATGGGGCTCCACACTCAGCAGGGAGTCTGCTTGAGATTCTCTCCCTCTGCCCCTCCCCATGCTCACCCGCACTCTCTAATAAATAAATAAATCTTATAAAAAACCAAGTAACTGCTAAGATTAAAAACTGACCATATTTGTACCTTCTGCTGCATCAATAGCAGATTTATGTCTCATTTCCTGGTGTTTTGAGAGTGATCAAGAGGGGCACCTAGCTGGCTTAGTCAGTTAAACGTCTGCCTTCGGCTCAGGTCATGATCTCGGGGTCCTGGGATGGAGCCCTGAATCAGGCTCCCTGCTCAGTGGGGAGCCTGCTTTTCCCTCTCCCTCCGCCCCTCTGCCCTGCTTGTGCTCTGTCTCTCATTCAATTTCAAATAAATAAAATCTTTAAAAAAAAAAAAAAAGGATGGCCAGGAATTTTAAAATACTATGAGCTAAAGTGTCTGAGTAATTTTTTACAGTAACTTGTATTACTTGAGTAATAGTCTAGTGGTAGTCTATTTAAGTAAAGGTGAATAAAATTACAACTTCAAGCACCCCAAACTAATCTACATTATTGAAAATATTAATTTTTAATGTATTATAAGGAGGCCGCTTCTAGTTACTTCGCTTTCTTACAAACCCCACCTCTCCACAGGGAGGTAAAGAGCACATTTTCAGGACTTACTGAAAACAAATTACATAGGTTATTTAAGAACAGGTTAGTTCTCAAAAACACATATGTTGAAAAGTAAAATCTACTTTTTCTGAAGGAACCTTCCATATAGACAACAGAGTAAACACTTTGGATTTCAGTATAAGCCCCCCTTTTATCTTTCAATCTTTTTATCTTTTTGATCATCCACTGGCATAGGAATTAAAGAGTCCACTAAATTAAAGTAGAAAAGTACAGCCCATTTATAGTTTCAAATCATAAAGTTATCAAAAACTTTCTGTAGTCCAAAACTCAGAATGTCTTGATACGATTTTAGAAGACAAAAGCTTAAATTAATGATTAAATTCTTAACTTTCAAAGACTTTAATTTCTGACGCTTACATGCCCGGAACAGGACCATGCTGATGACAGCAGCAGCTTTGGCTGATGTAACTCAGTGACAGCCCGCCTGGTACCTAAGGACCAGGTACCTAAGGACAGCCTGCCTGGTACATAAGGATCCAATCATATGTTAATGGCTAAGATTTATAAAGCACTTACTCTACACCGGGCATTTCTCTAAGCTCTATACACGTATTAACTCATCTAATCTTCACAAGGAACCTTGGAAGTGGATAGTCTCATCCTCCTCATTTACAGATGAGGAAACAGGCAGAGAATCAAAGTAACTTTTTTGCCAGGGCTGTAAAGCCAACAAGACGCCGTCCCCCTGCAGTAACCATCAGCAACAATGCACCAGCAATTGGAGCGTTGTCCTGGGCGTATGGCTGGTCCCCGACGAACACGTGCTGATCTAGACGGCCAGCTGGTTCTATTCAATCATCTCCACACTGTGTTTACTAGCGGTAATTTTCACGGGGCTCCCCTCAGAAGCCTTCAAGCCTGTGGTGTCCGGGAGCAAGAGAGAAACTTCCAATCTTAAGAAGAAAATTGGTCTCCTTTTTGGAATGAAGGGAGGCAGGAGGAAGGCAGAAGCAATACACCCTTCGAGGGCAGAGAAACGGAAATGCTTTCCGGCAGGCGACACTGTCCACTGGACCGACAGCTACAACAGGACGGTGCCGCGGGTTCTACCAACAGAGGCTCTGTCACTGAGCACCACCGATGGGCATTTCCAGTCTCTAGAAACAGATCCTTCTTAACCTTCCCCAAGGTTAAGAGTCGAGCAGTCCTTCTGCTAAGAGCAGAATTAAAAGCTGGGTGTCCCAGCATTCCAACAGGTCCCCGTGTGTGTCCCCTGCAGGTGGGCAGCGGCCTCGGCACTTGGCGCCTTCCCCGCGGGCCATCCGAGCAACCAAACTGTAGGCAACACCTGGGCTGCCCTGCCCCCTCCGTCCTCTCCTCTCTCCTTCCACATGTACAGTGCAGGTCTTTAGACACATCAAACATGAAGGTTATGGAAAAGATGAAAAATCACCTAAGCAAAAGGCCATTGGTTTTCATTGTAAAAGGCACCCTAAAACTCTAACACAATCCAAGTGATGCTCTCAGGGGAGGGAGGAATGCTTCTCCTCACCTGAAATCCGAAGCAATGAGGACCCAGACCAGGGTGGGACTGGAGGAGCTTCTTCTAAACCTGCCCCCTACCTCCACCCCACGCATGCGAGCACCACACACAGCATGGGGGGAGGGAGGGCGGCGCGAAAGGTCAATGTGGGGACTCATCCTGGCTCCACTGCTTAGGAGCCGTGTGACTTGGGGCAAGTCATTTAACATATCCGAGCCTCAGTTTACTCAAACGGGTGCGCTGTAAGAGCTAACTCACAACGTTCTATAAGGATAAAATAAAGCAATATATGAAATGTTCTCAGAATGTTAAAGTGCTATCCACTTCTAAGATAATGATATAATTTGATTCAAAATTGGTAAAAGCAAATATTCTCTGAAGCCCAACACACAAAGCTAAAGAAGAGAAAAACACAAAGGTGTAACTTAACAACAAAGGTAATACTTGACGTCAATGGCTGCTTTTGGTCAGGAAACACAAACATACCCAGTATATTCTTCCTTCAAGTTGAAAAACAGGTCTAGTGGTGAGGCTGCCAAACGATCCAGCTCTGACGGCCTCTGGCTCCGTCCCCTCGGCTGGCAACAAGGCCGTCCATCGCCCCCGCTGTCAGTGATGGCCTCGGCCGTGTGAGCGGGGCGGACAGACGTGGGGAGTGGGGATCCACAGATCTAAAAGTTCCCCATCCTGACTCACAAGGAAGCATCACTACTTGTTCTCAGCTCAGCCAGACTGGAGTTAACCCGGCCCCAGAATGACTGCTCGACTGGAAACAGCTCAGGGAGGTGCAGCCATTTTCAAAATCATTCACACCTCTCTTCGCGTTACTTATGCTTTCGCGAGCAAGCTGAATTCCTCATAAACAGAGGCACCACATGGGAAGCAAAATAGCTGACACTTACTGCTGAGTATTCTCCTAGGGCGTGGCATACATTATCTCAAGTCCTCTCGACAACAGCACTTCAGGATAAAGATTATCCCCATTCATAGAAGAAAAAGGTTCAGAAGGATTAAGTAATGTGGCTTATCTTGGTACAGTTAACGAGAGGTGAATTAACAACTTGAACCCCTGATTTGTGCTTTGCTCACCAGATCGCTCTGCCCTTGGCAGTCATGAAAGTTTAAAAAAAAAAAATCACTAAGAGTTTTGAAGAAACTGCTACTTCTCACTTGAAGATGGGACACAGCTCAGAGCGGTACAAGCTCAAGACGAAAGCCAGAGGACTCTGGTAAGGGCACAAAGGACGCAGTTGTAACTGCTTTTGCCCCGATTTATTAGGTCAGTCCTTGCTAGTTGAACGAGACTACATTTCCCGAGTGCCTCCTGCACGTCAGGCACCTGCTAGGCTCCAGGTCTATAGAGGGCACTTGCTCTGGGAAATTCTGGGCGGACGCCGAGGAGAAGGTCTGTGGCTGGAATGTGGGCCACCACTGCTGGCCTGGGTTTTGAGAAATGGTGATAAAACGGGGACAAAGCCTTCAGTTCTGTTTTCTCCAGGGCTGGGCCAGAGCTGACACTGAGCTGGACAGTCAGGCTTCTATGGGTCTCAACCTCTGGTTATGGCTTATCTCCTCCCTGTACATGATTACAAGACTGGACGAAACACATAGGGATGGCAGAAACAGAGGCTGCCAAAGAGGCTGAACTGCAGGGCAGGGTAGAAGGAGAGGAGGGAGTAAGCTCAGAGAGCGAGCAAGCATCCCAGAAATCTGCATACGGGTCCCTCTGAGTCTTGTCTGAGGCCAACTCCTGAGCTGCGTACGTGTGCGCTCTGGAAGATAATGAGGCTGACAGGACACTCACAGAGCTGGGAAGACTGGTCAGCGTGGAGAGACTTCCCTCAACAGCCTGGTGATACCCCTCAAGGTCCTTAAGAAGAAGGTTACTCTGACGTAAGGCAAGGGATCCCCTAGGCCTGTCCTAAAAGCGTTTTACACCAAGATGGAGCTGAGTGCCAATTAACTGACGCTCTTCAAAGTGGTAGTTCTCACACTGGGCGTGCACTGAAATCACTTGGGAGGCGAGTGAAACGCAGTAGGCCTGCAGTGGGGACGGAGGTACCCCTCAGACAACCCCCAGAATCCAAGCCCGGCCTAGAAGGCTGCACTGGATCAGGGCTATAGCACTATGCCATGGATCCCAGAACATTAATTTTCCC